CCTTCATGTGCCATCTACCCATGATGCTCTTCCTTTGGTGTCTGCAGCCTCTGAGGCTCTGTCCTATGCCTTGGCCTCTGCTCAGCCCACCCTCTCCTGCTTGATCTCATCTACTCCAACGGCCTCAACCAGCACATATTCCTGAGGCTGTCCCCAACCTCTCTCTCTTGAACTCCAAACCCATATTTTAAACCATTTACTAGACAGTCACCCCCATCTGCACCGTATACTCAACTGACCGAAATCGAAATCATCATTTCAAACTTGGTCCATCTCCCTTATTCTCTAATTTGGTAACTTGTACTTCCATTCTCTCAGATAACCAAGCTAAAAATGTGGTATATCCATCAGCCCATGGATTCAATTGATAACCAAGTCCTCTTAATTATGACATCTTTCAAATATTCCTTTTTGATCTCTATTGCCAGCAACTTACTTTGGAGTCTGTATCAGTTTAAGTTTTTTGGTTGCAAACAACAGAAAAGAACTCTGACTAATTTAAATAACAAAAAAAGAGGGAGTGCATTTATTTGAAAGGATATTGGGAAAGCTCACAGTATTGAAGGGAAAATTGAATAACCATGCTTCAGGGTGGACTGGATCTGGGGCAACTCTGGGGACCTCAGTGGGTGGAGCTCAGTCTTTGGTCTGGGACACTGCATATGGTAACTCCGCCACAATCAGCTTCCATCTCTGTGTGTCTTTATCCAAACTTTCAGATTCCTGGTAGAGAGAAGAGGGTTGACCATCCAGAGTTAGACAACAGGGATGAGTAGCACAAATCTGTGAGCACTACAGATCCTTATAATTTCTCAACCCTTTCTCAGTACTGCCATAGCCTTCTCAAAGGCCTCTGCACCTTTCCAATCTATACTTCCTGCATCTCTTCAATCTATAGTTTACACTGCCACCATTTTCATATGTCTAAAATATATATTGTTCAATGTATCTCCTTAGTTAAAATTCCTTGATAGCTCTTCATTACTCGTAGAATAACTTACAATCTTCGATCAGGGACTTCACTCTAGGATTTGGACCCTAGCTACCTCTCCAGTCTCAGCTTTTGCTACTTTTCTGTTAAATCTCTCTCTCTCTCTCTCTCTCTCTCTCTCTCTCTCTCTCTCTCTCTCTTTTCTTTATTGCTATTAGAGAGAGAAAAGAAGAAGGGAGAGGAAGAGAGAGATAGAAACATCGATGAGAGAGAACCTCGACTGGCCGCCTCCTACATGCCCCCCACTGGGGATCGGGCCCACAACCTGGGCATGTGCCCTGACCAGGAATCAAACTGGCGACCTCTTGGTGCATGGGTCGATGCTCAATCACTGAGCCATACCGGCCACGCCACATTTCTCCTTTTAAGGAGCTTACTGCCCAGGAGGCAAACAATAGCTGTATATAAGTATAGGTTGGCCCTGGCTGAGTAGCTCAGTTGGTTAAAGTGTTGTCCCAGTATGTTCATTCATTGAGTGTGGTGGGTTCAGCCTCCAGTCAGGGCACATATAAGAAGCAAGCAATGAATGCATAAGTAAATGGCACAACACAGCCCTGGCCAGTTTGGCTCAGCGGTTGGAGTGTCGGCTTGCAGACCAGGTTCGCTTCCCGCTAGGGGCACGTACAAAAAAAAAATGGCACAACACAGTGATGTTTCTCTCTCTCTCTCTCTCAAAAAAAATTCAATTTATATATAGAAAAGTATAGGTAGAACTACAAGTTACTATATAATGTCATGCACAAAAAACAGTGACCCTAGGTTAAAATTTGGGATTAAATTAATCTGGAAAGTCTTCTCTGAAGTAGTAACATAAAGAAGATGATTCAAATAGTTTCAAGAGGGTAGGAGAGTGTTTTAAGTTGGGTGGGGGGTGTAGAAAACACTCACTATGTTTGAGGAACAGGGTGAAAACACTGGCCAAGGTAGAGGTTGATTAAGATATGGTGTAAAGGTCAGAGTGTGTGTGTGTGTGTGTGTGTGTGTGTGTGTGTGTGTGTGTGTGTGTGTTTACAGGAAAGTCATAGTTTAGGGGGAAAAAATGGAGCAGATTTGGTTTTCTTTGTGCTCTTCATTCTCTGATTCCAGCATAGAACACCTCTGCATTCTAGAGTGCCTGTTCATCACAAACTCCCAATGGTTCCTGGAATCAAGAAAAGAATAATTTAAATATTTTCAGAATGGAAAATCTCCACATCAAGGAATTTTCTCTTCCTCTCTAAAGTAAGATGTCCTGATATCATTTAAGGTATTATACACCAGATCTTTCCTTTCTTATTTTTTATATAGTTTTTGTGTTTATGTGATTTTTTTTTTTTTTTTCCTATCATGGGTTCCAGACAAGCAGCACAAGACATGTGTCTTTCAATGGGATGGTTTCTATTTATTTTCGTTTTGCTATATACATGAACTGGAAAAACTAAACGTGAGAAAAGGGTAAAAGCTCATTAGTCTATTTCCCTCTAAGGCAGAGGTTCTCAACCTGTGGGTCACGAACCCCTTGGGGGTCGAACGACCTAAGACATAACAGTAGCAAAATTACAGTTATGAAGTAGCAACGAAAATAATTTTATGGTTGGGGGTCACCACAACATGAGGAACTGTATGAAAGGGTCGCGGCATCAGGAAGGTTGAGAACCAGTGCTCTAAGGGAACTTTCAGAGTTTAGTTCAGGCTAGTCATAAACTTTAGACAATCATCTTCAGGGTTTCTGTCAGGACAATCAAACTAGATATGATCCTAAACAATCACCTATTGACACTAACATAAATCTTTCCTCCAAACCCATGGACTTTACAGGAACTTGAGCTGATAAGCCTTAGGAAAGTTCTCCTTAATTGTCAAGGCCCCCCAGATTTGATTCCATCCTACCCATCTACTATTAAGTCTTTATAGTAGCTACTTAAAACAACGACAAAAACAAATAATCTTCCGGTTAGGCTACTTCACAAACCATCCTACAAGGCCCAGCTCAATTTCCACACCCTTTGGGAAACATCTCCCCCCAGCATCAATCACTAACCTCTCTTTTCTCTAAACGGTAGGTTCTAAATCCTCAATTCTTTTCTTCCATTTCTAATTATCAAAATGTAGCAACTCCCTGGACAAACAAGTCTGCTCTTCCAACTCTCTTCCCATTACTGACACATAAATTTAATTTTATTTTAGGTCTTTGTGTAGGTAAATCTCATCAACATCGTGGAATTAGAATGTTCCCTTCAAATCATTTAGTTAACTCTCTACATTTTTACAGATGAGGAAGTTGAGGCCCCAAGAGATTTGTCATCGTTGTTTCAGATTTAACAATTACTTTCTCCTCCCTGCCCTTATTTATCAACTAAACTTAAGTTCTTGAGGGCTAGGATTATCCTGTGTGTTTTCTGCATTCACAACAGCTCCTATCGGTCTTCTCTTGTTTCCCATACAGGATCAAGAACGGGACTGGGCACACAGCGTATGCTAAGGAAACAATGTTTGGATTGAACTGAACCCCTACAGAATGTGGACCATTTAGGGGCACTGAGTTTGGTCTCTGGGTGAATAATTGCTTCAAGTTGGCCCACTTAGCAGTGAGCAGCAATGAGTCAAAGGAAACCTGCCAAGTGTGTGGTCTTGTTTGCCCAACTATGTTATAAATACCATCTTACACAAATTTATTTTGTAGCCCCTAGTGTTTCCAACAGTGCTAGTCACAGAGTAAACCCTCATTAAAAAGGTTTCAATTGAATGACTGTCCTGAGATCAAAAACCAGATCTTGGTCTGTGTTTCATGTAGCAACTGGAGGAGCTTTGCCAAAAGAAAAACCCCAGGCTGTCCGAGATAGTCACTGCTGGGCTGAGGAAGCATTTTTCATGCAGCAATATGCCTTAAACTGGACTTGAAGAAACGTCTGGAATCTGGTGCTACCTTTTATTTACCAAAGATTTATTCTGAAAGTGGTACAATAAGAATTATATTATTAATAGATAACCTAAGGCAATAGGACACATCAAAAGGGCACAAACTTTAAGATGTTAATTGGGATGAATTTATTTTGGTCTGTCCACAGTGCATCACCTGCTTCCCTTCAGACTATTTTTAAGCCATCTGGCATGAGGTGGAAGCAAGAATTCTTTACATGGGATCTGAACCTGAATTTGGGATTATTTGTACCATGCTATAGCCAACTGACCCACTAACGACAGAGCTTGGCTATTTCTACTTTTCTTATTTTGTTCCTTACTCTGCTACCTTCATTTTTAAAGGAGAGAGGTCTAGTTGAGGTAGTTGTAGGATCCTACTTAATTTGGACTAGTTTAACCCCTGCAAATGGAACTATCTCCAAGCTGGCCACTCATTTTAGTCATTAACCCAATCTGACTCCTGAGCATCTTTCACTATGTTCAGGAAGTAAATGAGTTTAGTAAGAATCAGTCAAGGAATCCAAAATATTTTATTACTAAAAATGGCAACTTCTATCCCTTGCCCTCTTTCCCGCAAAAGGAGCTAGTATCTGGGTGGGGGATGGGAAAGTAACTGAAAGCACCGAGTATGAGAATATTTACCAGTGATTATTATTTTTACTACTCCATTTCTAGGAAGAGAAACTTAGATGTGGTTAGGAACATGGGGGAGCCGGTGATCCAAGCTTGGGCATTAAAAGTGGAACATTTATTTGTGATGTTCCACTAACTATATTCCTTCTTGCGGAATCATTGGCTAATCATTGGTGCAGGCAGAACCATTTCCATGTGGAGAGGCAGGTAGGCATTCCAAAGAGTAAGTCATCTGCAAGGGTATGGTGAGCGTCCAGCGGCCTAGAAGAAGTTCTGTAAGCAATCTACTAGAGTACTTCCTTTAGTGGCCTGAAACCCCTACTTTAGAAGAAATCAACTCATCAGACGTCTTCAAGGGGTCCCACTTGCTTAACTCTTCAATTTGTGGGATAATGAATCCTATTCTTTACAACCCATATGTTTTTCAATTTGCGACCACTTAAATTGGGCTCCTCTAAGTCAGGAGGTCGAGACAATGCATAAGACCAGGGCTCTGAGCAGCTGGATGCTCCGCCTCTCTTTCAGGTTCCCACGTGGCAAATCAAAGACACATGGAACTGACGAAGTTAGACTTGAGAAAGGAATTAATGTGGATAATGATGAGGTAAGAAAGAAAATTAGCAAAGGTTCATTTGCAATCTTTCTTTGGAGTTGCTTAGAGTATTTTACAAGCTTTGACTTACAAACTTTCTGTTGAAAAGCAAAAAGGGTCAAGATTCATATAGAAAGCAAAGTTAATTGATTTTATGAGAGGGAAACAGAGACATAGAAATAGGAAGAGACAGGGACACAATAGCAGTAAATCCGGGTGCAAAACCCAGGGACCAGAAGCCTATCTTAGGGCATGAGTGAGTGTTAAACCCAGAATTCGGGGCCACCTCTTGCAGCAAAAGTTGATTGCCTCCCCACGTTTATTATATTTAAATAAATTTTCCAGGCCAACTTTTGTTTTATTGGCCAAAGATACTGCTATTCAACATAACAGAACTACATGTTCCAATTTGGACACTCTCGTGGGTTTCATCAACTGCTGGAGACTAATTTGGAACAGAGATTCACTACTGTACCTCAAAAAAATTCAGGAGTAAAAGCAGTTTTTAAACAATTTATTGTTTTGAGAGAGCGAGAGGTCTCTATCAAATCAATAAATTTTAAGGGAGAAAGAGAGAAACTGATTTGTATACTTATTGGTTGATTCTTATATGTGCCCGGAGCGGGGATGGAACCTACAACCTTGGTGGTTCAGGACAATGTTCTAACCAACTGAACTACCCAGCCAGGGCTAAAACATCTTGTCCAGAGACCTTCACATTATCATTCTTTTTTTTAAAAAAACCTATAAAAGAAAAGCCTTTTCATCTTTTTCCCCAAATACATTTTTTCTAAACTTCTGTATGATTTTAAATACGTAATTTATATGTCATATCTTCGAGGCAGGTTTTTCACAATATGTTTTTGTTTTGAACAGAGGGACTGCAGTTTTCACAAAGGTAATAAAAATTAAGTGATTGCATCTTTGGATTTGTCCCATATTTCATCCCACCCTCCCAAAGGAATGTATGGAATGACTGTGCCGGGCCAGTCCTCCCTGACCCCCTGGAACTGCCAATTCTTGGTGTTTTCTTTCTGGAGCATAATAACGGCCTGCCCTCATCCCGCAGTTTTGCCCTGGTCTTACTACTTCCCTCTTCTGTGTTCACCTGCTTGCTTATTCACCCTTTCAAGTGCACGTTCCCTTTCTTCCGTACCCCATCTTACCACACCACCTCTTCGTGACTTGACAATCTTTAGAAATGCTGATCCAAATACAGGATTATGTTCTCGCCTAATTCTGATTTCTGATTTTGCTAAACCCAAAGGAGGTAACTCAGCTTTTTTGGCTTTGGGTTCTCATCCCTTTGATTTACTCATCCTTAGATAACCCAGGGCTCACCTCAAGGCTGGGCAACAAGCTGGCGTCAGTAAAGGTAAATGCAGGTGGCCCAGCCCCTCTACCACCAGACATGTCACTCAGTCTGCCAATCACCAGCGCTACCACCATCAGAAAAATGTAAAGTGGTAGACAGAAGTGTTAGCAAAATTTGATTATTTTTGGTAACATTTTGGGAAGAATCATATACCACAGAAATATTCAAAAATGCAAAAATACAAAATGTTGTTTCCCCCTTCCTCTGTGAGGCTGTCCACTCCCAGCTAAGGTGGCAGTTACCCCCAGGGCTCCCTTCACTCACAACCTTTTTTTCCCCCCTTTACTGATATTAGAGAGAGGAAGTAGGAGGGAGAGAGAGATAGAAACATCAATGAGAGAGAACATCGATTGGCCGCCTCCTGCATGGCCCCCACTGGGGATCAGGCTCACAACCTGGGCATGTGTCCTGACCGAGAATCGAACCGGTGACCTCTTGCTGCATGGGTTGATGCTCAATCACTGAGCCACACTGGCTGGACTCACAGCCTTTAAGTTATCACCCTTTTGTAACTTGATTTTCTCCTTAAAGGTTGTCCTCCATGTTGATCTTCACCTGATTTCATTCCTACAGAAATAAAAAGGCAGAAAAAGGAGGTGTGATCCCTTGGAGCAATTTGTCCCTGTCTGAACTTTGATGCTGCCCTTGTCTACCTCACCTCCTAGCAGCCTGACCTGACTTTTCATAAGGCTGGTCCCCCTTTCCGTGGGCGAGCTTCCCCGTCAGCGTGTCTCAGAACCCAGCTCTCCTTGCTGTGCTCTCATTCCGGAAACCCGGGGTGCAGGATGTGAAGCACCGTGTTCCCTTGGCCTGTCTGAAGCAGAGACCACATTTTAGCGAGTGTCGGGAATGAAATACTGTTCAGGGTAGGTGTGGCTCAAAACCACTAATTTTGATTATTGTTTCTAGATCGTTTACTCTGTCGGGCAATCAAAATTCGTTCTCAAGAACCTTCAGTATTATACAGTCCATCCAAAATTGGTAGGTAAAATACACTCTTCCCTCAGATCCCTAAGAGCAAGTTGCAGCAGTGGGCAGAGGTTGCAGAGTATTTCAAATGCCTCCGAGCACGGCCACTTCTGTGACGCCCACACTGCTAAGACGGGCACAGCTGCCCACGGGCTCTGAGCCAGAGGCAGAGCTGGGAACAGCAGTGAGGAGGGAGGAGGGAGGAACTGGGAAGAAGGTGGTTCCTAGAGCTCCAAGATTCCAGTTGAGAAAACATATTAATAATCAGCAGGTGTTTCATTCTCTCCCTCCCCCTTCCTCTGCTTTCCTCCTGTGAACAGGAAAGCAAATTTAGTGGAACTTCCCCTTCCCCCAACCCCATCTTAAGTGACATGCTGTCTTTTGTGACTGCTTTTCCTTTTTATTTTTTTCTTCATTGATTTTTTTAGAGAGAGGAAAAGAGAGATGGAAACATCTATGAGAGAGAACATCGACCGGCTGCCTCCTGCATGCCCCCCACTGGGGTTTGGCCCACAACCTGGGCATGTGCCCTGACCGGGAATCGAACTGGCGACCTCTTGGTGCACAGGTCGACACTCAACCACTGAGCCACACCAGCAGGGCTGCTTTTCCTTTCTTAACGGTGCTTATTAAGCATGGTGATGTGGTTGTGCTTGTGGGGAAACGTTGGTGGGTGAGAATACTGGTGTCACCCCCACCCTCCAGACTCCCCGAGCAGGATTTGACCCCTGGCAGTTTCTGGCCTCGGCCTCTGAGAGCTGTGGGGAAGGCCAGCGACGCTGAGCGTAGAAACCTTTCTGTTGGCCCTGCTGTGCCCAACAAATTCTCTTCCACTCTTTCAGAAGAATTAAGTCGTCTTTCTCCCTCTGTTGTGGAAACCTTCCCATGTCGTTTCCCCGGCCCCCTAGTCTCTTTGTGGGGACCGCTCTGAGGGACGGAAAGGCCAGCGAGCTGCAAACTTTTTCTGATAAACGCATTTCCGAGCAGATTTGTCCAGCCTCTGTCCAGCCTCTATCCCTACCCTGCAGAGGCAGAAGATTAGCCAACTGATTTGTTAACCTTCTCTTGATCTAATCCCTTTGTCTGTCTGGAAACCTTTCGGTCTGTCTGCTCAGAGCCAGTACTATGAGCCTTTGAAGCACACGGCACTGCAGAAATTCATGGCTCGAAACCAGAAAATCTTAAGCTTCATGCTCAAAGTCGCAGAATACGATCAGGATAAGACCTTACTGATAATGACCAACAACCCACTTCCCTGCCTAATGGACCCATATGGAAAGGACATTACACCAAAATACTTTTCTAAGGAGTTACTGCTCAAGGTAATGCTCCCTGGGAAGTTTCCTGGCACCTCAAATAAGGACCCTGAAGAATTAGGAGTCAGCTTGAAACAGGAAAATATCTTAACGTGGTCTTCAGGGGCCAACCTCTTCCCTCTAATTCTTTGCCATATGCTTCATCCAACAGAATCTGAAGAGCCTGAGAAATACTCAAAAAATGGAGTTGGACAAGCTTGGGTCATGAAACTTCATGGCACAGAGAAAAGAGAATCCTAGCTTAGATTGGTTTCTCCTTGGCCAAAGATATTTAGTTTGTAATTAACAAAGGGTAAAGTGGCCACTGACTTTCTAGCTGAGTATAAAGTAGTAAAGTATAAACTGAGAAGGGAAGAATAAGGAAGAGAAATGAGGAATGGAATGGGAAAGGAATGAAGGGTTATACTTGATACCTGTTGCTTTTGAGTGTCAGGAGAAGGGGAGAGAAACAGAGCAGGTGATTTGCTATCACAGTATCCAGACATCCGGGACTCTGTTGTATACTAAAGACGTTCAAATTCAATTTGATAGCAAGTCACTCAACGTGCACTAATCTAAGAACTAAAATATAAAGATGATTACAGGTCAGTTTCGATCTTGAAGAAACTGGGAATTTAACAGAAGAGACAGATCAGTAAATGAGATATAAAAATAATGATAATATACCAAGATATATGAATTATAAAAGAAGTTAAAGAGCCCTGGCCAGTTTGGCTCAGTGGTTAGAGTATCGGCCTGTAGACCAGAGAGCCCCGGGTTTGGTTCCCACTAAGGGCACGTACCTCGGTTGCAGTTTGTCTCCACCCCGGTTGGGGTTGTGTGGGTGGCAACCAGTCGATGTGTCTCTCTCACATTGATGTTTCTCTCTCTCTCTTCCCTCCTTTCTTCCTCCCACTCTATCTGAAGATAAATGCAAAAATGTCCTCGGGTGAGGTTTAAAAAAAAGAAGATACAGAACTCATATACAGAACAGTATTTCTGCTGGGAGAAAGGGAGTAATCTGAGTGGCTTACAGAAGAGATGACCCCTGACAAAAGAATGGCAGAATATTCCAATCAGAGGGAAAGACAAAGCCATGGAAATATGAGAACGCGAGGTGCATTTAGGGAGTTATAAGAGAGTAAATGGCAGGAGATAAGAGGATAAAATCAAATTTGCATTAATTTATTTTTCTTTCTCTCTCTTTTTATTTTTGTTTTTGTTAGTCCTCATCTGAGGACATTTTTCCATTAATTTTTTTTAGATAGAGTAGAATGGAAGGAGGGAAAGAGAGAGAGAGAGAGAGAGAGAGAGAGAGAGAGAGAGACATCGATGTGAAAGAGACACATTGACTGGTTGCCTCCCACATGACCTCGACCAGGCCAGGGATCGAACCTGCAACCCAGGTATATGCCCTTGATCGGAAATTGAATCCACAACCCTTTGGTCCATGGGCAGACACTCTAACTATTGAGCCAAACCTGCCAAGGCAAATTTGTATTAATTTATAAAGACCTTTTCTGGAGGTTGGGAGAAAGGTGCATTATTTGTAAAAGAAACAAAAATCAGGAAGTTTCATTATGATGTTACTACAATCACCAAGGTAAGAGATGCTGAGGAATCTAACTAAATCAACAACAGAAGAAGTGAAGAAAATCAATTTAAGAGATATTTAGGAATCAGAATCTGAAAAAGATCTTGATAGTCCTGGCCGGGTAGCTCAGTTGGTTGGAGTGTTATCCCAATACACCAAGGTTTTGGGTTTTATACCTGGTAAGGGTACATACAAGAAGCAACCAATGAATGAATAAACAAGTGGAACAACAAATCAATGTCTTTCTTTCTCTCTCTCCCCCTTCCTTTCTCTCTCTAAAATAAATAAATAAATAGAAAAATAAAGATCTTGAAAGTCTTCTTGAGAGAGAGCCTAATATAACAAGACAAAGTTAAATGAAATACATTACAAACAAAAGAATATAATTATAACAGAAATTTGAAACTGGAAGTGGAATTATCCAAAACAGATTCTTATAATAGAGTGTGGTAAATTTGGAATTAGTATTCCCTTAGTTGCTACATAGATGGCATTTCTTTCCAAATGGAAGATAAAATACTAGTAACCAAAAATGTATGCTGACAAAGATTTTAATTAACTAATCTCTTGCCTATGGTCTCTTTGGTCTTAGAATTCGTGTCTTTGAACATAAAGTCAGTGGTTTTCTCGTGGTAGTGGTACAGTAATGTGCACTGAGCGAGGGACAAATCCCAGGCCAGGACTGCTCTGCTCAAGGTAGAGAAGGAAATGCAGGACTGTCATGTAACCTTGGTGCAAGAAGAACTTCCTTCCAACAGCTGGCACTTGAGAATCTTCCAGATCACATGCAGGACCTGATCATACTCATGAGCAAACTGTGGTACCAGCCAGATAGTATTAATAGACAGAGTTCAGGCTCTGCTTGTCAAAGACTGGCACCATGGTAATTTTATGGAGCTTTCTGGAACCAGTCCAAGAAAATGGAAATGCCCGATACCTAGAATGCTTAATATTTATGCTGCATCCCCTCCTTGTCTTGCCAGAAAAATGTGACAATCTTTTGTGAGCCTAACATCATATACTAAAGAAACATTCTTTTGCCCACATATGTGTATAAAAGGACTGTGGGTTCCAGCTGGCATCTTGTAGAATGAACATATCTATCACTGTGATGGTTATACTCACAGCCCCTTCTAAGTGAAATGGACCCTACCACAGTTCATAAAAAAAGATGCCCCAAGGGGTCCTATTCTGTATAACTAGACTCAGTCCTCAACTCCTAGATGGGACTAGAGAAGCACACCAGATCCAGTGAAATAAAAGTAATAGGCTGCTTAGTTGCCTGTGCTGGTCACCACCAAACCAAAAACAAAACCAACCAACTTACCAACAACCCAAATCCCTGAGCTAATTGGATTCTTGTGTCCAGGCGTCTGAATTGGGAGGAAAAACCTGAGGTAGTGGGAATGAAAGCTGGAAGGACACAGAAAGGGAGGCCATAAAGAAGGTAGTGTAGGGACCATAAGAATAGGATAGGGGCAGGTTAAAGTCATAGGGAAATACATATAAATGAATAAGCAGAAGCTATAGATAGAAAAAAGGTATATATGGTAAGGAAAGGAGTGAACGGAGAGAGGAAGAAGTGGGTAGGAAGAAGTAGGAGAGACATTAATGGTGTGACATAGAATCAAGATACACAAACTCACGCAGTGGTGTAATCCTTAGCTAGTGCTGTCTTGGATTCTAAATAGCTTCTCCATTCCTGGTTTTCTGCTATGAGATCTAGCTCTGTTAAGGTTCTGCTCTTTTTGTCGCCAGATTGTTAGCTATGTCTTACTTCCCAGGCAGATGTGCTCTTACAGGAAAACTCCTATTAGATGAGGTAACTTGGATGTATACCTGTTCCTCAAGACTGGAGATGTTTAAAGAAAACGAATACAGAATTAAAAGACATGTTTAACAGCAAGTATTTTTTTAAAAGAGGCTTTAAAATTCTGAAAGAAAAAGCTCAATATATGTCAATTAAGTAGTTTGGTTATTCATTTATTCTTTCATCCAGTCAAGAAATATTTATTGAGCACTTACTATGTGCCAGGCACTGTTATGGGTGGTAGGTACATAACAGTGACTAAACCAAAGTATGCCCACATGAAGTTTAATTACAGTGAGGTAGATAGACCATACCAAGCAATCACGCAGTGTAAAAATGTGATAAATGTCAAGACAAAGCAGGATGAAGGAATGGCGCAGGATGAAGGAGTGGTGCATGATGGGTGTGAGTGGTGATTTTAGATAATGCCGTTTAGATAGTAATTTGGATAGCAGGGTCTCAGAAGAGGTGATGATATTTGAATAGAGACTTTATTGGGGTGATGGAGTGTCCTGGGGTTGCTACATCTTGCATATTGTTTTCATTTCAGATTGCCGCACATAAGGAAGAATATAAAGTGTAACCGTCTTAAATGAGTTCTTTTTTTTTTTTTTTTTTTTTTTTTATCCTCACCCGAGGATATTTTCCATTTTTTTGTACAGATAGAGTGGGAGGGAGAGAGAGAGGAAGGGAGAGAGAGAGAAACATCGACGTGAAGGGACACATCGAGTGGCTGCCACCCGCACGACCAACCAGGGCCGGGGACAAACTGCAACCGAAGTACGTGCCCTTAGCGGGAACCGAACCCGGGTCTCTCCGGACCGCAGGCTGACGCTCCAACCGCTGAGCCAAACCGGCCAGGGCTTAAATGAGTTCTAATGAGATCAATCAGGAAAAGAGGAACCCAAAGCCATGCCACATGAAGCAAATGTCGAAATATTGGCAATGTTGAGCCTAGAAGACAAAGAGAAATAGGAGGAACTTGATGGATTTCTCCAAATTATTTTCTTTAAAAAATTTTTTTGATTGATTTTTTTAGAGAGGAGGAGAAAGAGAGAGAGAAAGAGAGAGACATTAAGAGAGAAACATTGATTTATTGTTACACTTCCATATGCGTTCTGACTGGGGAATCGAACCTGCAACCTTGGTGTATCGCGATGACGCTCTAACCGAGCTACCTGGCCAGAGCAATCCAAATTCTCTAAGGACTCTGTAGAAGAGACACTGGAGTTACTGTGTTTGGACTATAAGTTAGAAGTTACAGGGAGATAGCTAGTAGCTGATCAAAGATAAAATAGGTTGGGTTTTTAGGTTTAGGAAGATTGACCACTTGATAATGATACTGTATAGGTGAGTGCAGATCTAGGTTAGACTGGATGACCTTTACAATCCTTTCTGGAAGTCTTTGATTCTGTGACCTTTAGCAATGATGACCTTATTATCTCACAAAACATCTCATTCTGTGGCCTTTTCACTGCAGAGAACAGAATGTGAATGAGATAGCTATCTCTGAGAAAGGAAGGTAGAGTCCTATGGATACCCCCCTCCCAATTTATTATTAAATGTTTGATTTATTAAGCAATGCACTAATTGAATCCTTCTCAAAACCGGACAAATTCTTTCGCCACTCTCTTCAGAGGGCCAGTGGACAAGTTCAGTCAATCACTTAGGAGACTGACAAAGCTTTGGACCAGTCATCTGGCTAGGAAACAAACATGTATTGGCCCACTTGGAACTGCTTCCTCTTCTTTGGTTTCTGAGTCCCCACTCCCTTCTCTGACAGGTTTGGTTGCATCATGCTGGGGAACTGGAACTTAGTCCAAGAACTTTGTTCAGCCTTTACATCCCAAGGTCCTCAGCTGACTCCCTCTCTTACTCTTCTTCCCTCTGCTGCAGGAAAGTTATCAGCACAAACCCACTGAGAACTTCCGCCTACCCTTGTTGCCTCAGGAAAAAAAGTTAGGACCTGGGCTGAAATCAATCTTCTCTATGGCACTGTCGAAGGATCCTACATCCAAGCAAAAACAATGGTTTAGGTAAAGTACTGGCTACTCCTGTTCTCATTTTCTTTCCTATCATTTCCTTATTCACATTACTATCTCTTTTCAATATGATTTAATACTTTTTGCTTGTAGGATATAGGTACAACTGTATACTAATAAAACACAGCTTCCCTATATGATCCCCAATGTCATTTACACCCTAATGAAAGAGAAACAGTAATGCAAAGTTAAGGTTTTTCACTAAGAAGGATTTTCAAGAGTGAAGAGAAATATTCAAAGGCATATGATTTGAGGAAACAGAAAAAAATTTTTCCCTCAGTGCATAATAAGGGCTATAGCATAGGAACAATGTGCTATGAGATTTTATTTGAAACTAGTTCTAGGAGCAGCCTATATTCAGTTTGGAGAGGAGAGATTCTAAACTTCCAACACAGGTTTACAAGACTAGGTTCTAGAAGCATCCCTTTCACTGAACAGCACTCCCACTCTGTACCAGTGAACACCTGATAGCATTGTTCTTTCCCCTCCCCTGGAATCTGAGAATGTAGTGATCGGTTCCACTAACCCCAACCCTAACAATTACTAAATGAGCTTTCTTTGTTAAGGTTTTCCAACAAGAATGATTTCAAGAGTGAAGGGAACTATTCAGCAATCTGCGCCTTGAGGAAACAGAAAAATATGTACCCTGGGCTCGCGAGTGCTCAAGTCTATAATAGAGATATGAGGAAAGATGGTAAGCTCCTCTCTTTCAAAGAATTGGCTTATGGAACTGAGATGTGGGCAGGAGGGACAACCTATGGGGATGAGATTTAAGGGTAAATCAACATCTCTCGTGGAGGTTCTGGAGACTATTTTTTCCTGTCACGCAGAAGCTAAGAACTGATAGAGGCTCAAGTGGTGCTAAGCTTTGGATTCTGTCTAAATCTTCAAATTTCAAGAAGCCACAGCACAGTGCTTCCCAAATTGTACCACCTACCACTTTAAAAGTTTTGGTATATCAATGTTATTTGCCATATTATTTAGTTAATATTTTTAAAAATGTTTTTATTGATTTTTTAGGGAGAGAGAGAGAGAGAAACATCCATGTGAGAGAGCTACCTTGATCAGCTGCCTCCTGCACTCTCCCCACTGGGGATCGAGCTGGAAACCCAGGCATATGCTTGACTGGGAATCGAACCAGGACCTCTCCGTCTGTGGGACGATACTCAATCTACTGAGCCACACCTGGCAGGCTACTGTTTTTGTTCCTGTCCTAATCAATATTATATCATTAACCTGGGCTTGATATACTAATTACATTTTTTTCTGACATACATTTAATCAAATTCATAATAATTAAAAAGGGCTGAAGGATAAGTCTTAATCTCAGAGGTCCACCAGTCTCTTTGGGAATGAGGTAGGACATGGGGTGGGAGGGGTTTGAGAAAAGGTTGTATGGAATGGAGGAGGGTATACTGAGAATGCTCCTGACAAATTATCATTCATTTAAGAACACTTATGGGGCACCTAATAAATGTTGAACACTTATCAAGCATTAATAATGGCACGTTTGATGTATGAGAGAGATAGATGGGGCAGAACATGAAGGGCCGGGGGTATATGGTTAAGGCCCTGGGTTATATGATTAAGGGCTTGGGTTTTCTCAACTAGGCAGTTGGGACCCATTGAAGAATTTCAGAGCGCTCAAACAGACATTTGAGACTGAAAACCAACACACTTCAGGAAAAAGCTAAGAGGTGTGAGATATACAAGTGAATGTACCTCAACTTAGTAAACTGAGTTATGAGTGTCAATATGGTTGTGGATGGAATCATTTGAGAGATGGGGTTAAACAGGGAAGATTCTAAAGTGTCAGTTTTAAACTGGGTTTTGAGGAAGGTAAGGAATCCAGACTTATAAAGAAGGCTGGGAACTGTAGTTCGTGGTCCAAAATCTATGCCCTTGCTAAGAGTAAAGACCACTTCTCTGGTCCCCCCAAGTGGGTCAATTCTGTCTCTCATCAGTGTCCTTCCAGAGTCTAGAATCTAGACCCTCTGTAAATCCACATTCACCAAGGTGCCCTGTGTTTTTTTGCAGTCTCCAAGAAGTCAGAAAGTGACATGCAGACTTCGAAGATAAACTGGGAACCACTAACCCTTTCATCGCTGCTGGAACAGAAGCCCACCAGAACCGCGCCTGGGGAGAGCGCCTTCCGCAGTGGAAGCGCCCGGCAGTGGTTTATAAAAACACCCCGTCATTAAGTAGAAACAGACCCCTCTGTCCTCTCGCCTAGCTCTCCAGAGACTGAGAAGCCGACACGAGTCGCTATCCAGGGCGTGTCAACCAAATAAAATCACAAACTGTCCGCTCCGGACATGGGCTGCTCGGTCGCTGGCAGGGTGGGCAGGGGCGAGCACCCGGTACAGACCACTTTCAACAGCGGCCACCACGCGGGCCCCCGGACCCAGAGCCTGGCCCCGCCTCCGCCGACTCGGGAAGACGAGAGGGCGTGGCCGCGCCCCCAAGGGACCAGAATGGCCGTGACAGCCGGGGAGGGCGGGCCTTCTCCCAGAGTGACACGACGGCGGCCCAACCCGCGCCAGAGCACGGGGCCGGCCTTCCTGCAGCCTCTTCCGCTTGCCGGCTGCGGCGCCTAGGAAGGTTGCGGTGGGTCTGGGCGCTGGGAAGTCGTCCAAGATGATTAAAAAATTCGACAAGAAGGACGAGGAGTCTGGTACGCGCTGGGCTTCTGACGCCCACCCCCCGCGGCGGGGGGTCCCTTCCCCCGCCCGCCGCCACCTGCTCTCGGGGACTGCGGACCGGGGGGCGTGGGCGCCGGTGTGCCAGGGGGCCGGTTCCTGCCGGGGGCCTGCCCCTAGCCCCTCCCCCGGCGCCGGAGCCTCCCCCAGGGTCGCGCTCCAGCCCAGGCGCCCCTGCGCCGCAGCAGCCTGCTCGGCGGCCCCGCCTCCTCCCCCTCCCCTCCCTGGTCCCCCTCCCCACCCTCCGCTTCCCCCGCCTTCTCCCCCTCCCCTTCTCTGGGCGCAGCTCCTCCTAGCCGTCTCCGCCCGGCTCGCCGAGGGTGGGCTGCTCGCAGAGGCGGCGGGCGCTTGGCAGGTGGCGGAGGGACTGTGTGCGCGCTTAAGAGGCCAGGGGTGCTGATAGTGTGAGGCCCAGAGTGGGTCTCAGATCCATCGGACAGTGTGTGTATAAATGAACTTTGAGGTGCCATGTACCTTACAATCTTCCTGGGGACCTTTACACTGCTTCCCAGAAGGTACATAGATCATTGAATGCGTCCCAAAGTGAGTTGGCCGTGATACTTTGGTCCAGAGCAAGTGGGAAAGATACCAAGCCACCTTACAAACAAAACAAAACTCAGTGTTTTATGGCTGCTCTCATAAAGAGTGGTTGGGTTAGTAAAACCTCAGTGGCCCCTTTCATCTTTAAGTTTATGGTAATCTGCTAAACTCTTCTGCCTCACAGTAAATGTTAGAAACACACACAATCGTGCTGGCCTTTAGGCAACTCCAAAGGGCCCTGTACCATGATCTCATTAATCTTGGTTGTGTGGACATTACAGATATTTGTAACATTCATATAAAAAGAGCCAGGGGAAAAAGACCCTCCTTTTGGGCAAGGTTCCCGCAGAAGTACAAGATCTTATAGGAAAGCAATGACAAATAGTTTCAGAATCCAAGTGATTAGTTCATATGCATGTTAGTAACGATTATCACTGTGATATCTAAGTGGTCACTTTGCTTGGGTGAGATATCCAAGCATTCAGTGTCCTATAGAAAATAAATTTGTGTAGGACAGCTATTAAAGATATGTTTTGTTTTATACCATAGGTAGTGGGTCCAATCCTTTTCGGCATCTGGAGAAGAGTGCTGTCTTACAGGAGGTATGGCTTGGAAGTATATTGTGTTTCTTCTTTTCCATTCCATTTTGGAATGGTGGGCATAGAGCCCCTGGAATGCTGAGATGCAAAATAGGAATTAAGAGTTCAGAGAATATAGACTTGAGGGAAAAGGAAGAGGGGTTGCTTGCAAGAGGAGAAATGCAAAAACATGTAGACTACATGTTGAGAATTTTTTGTTTGCTTAATTCTGTATTTGTTTAATCCTCACCCAAGGATATGTTGATTTTTAGAGAGAGAGAGATGAGAGAGAAACAGATTGGTTGCCTCCTGTATGTGCTCCTACTGGGGGTCAAACCTCCAAACTAAGTTTGTGCCCTGACCTCTTGGTGTACAGGATGACATTCCAACCAACCCACCCACCCGGCCAGGGCCACATGTTAAGAATTTTAAATAAAATGCCAGAAGAGATGTTTAGTGCAAGGTTATTGAAGGAAGTTATAGATATTAAACTCATTGTATTCAAGTGATATAGATAAATATTTTGATTCTTAACTTAACAGATAGAGCCCACGAAGTTGAAGCAGTAGACCTATGGGAGAGAGAGTGTAAAATGCAAAATCAACCCGGCCAGTGCGGCTCAGTGGATTGAGCATTGACCCATGGACTGAGAAGTCCCGGTTCCATTTCCAGTCAAAGCACATTCCTGGGTTGTAGATTTGATCTCCAGTGGGGGTCATGCAGGAGGCAGCCGCCGATGGATGTTCCTCTCTCTCATCGATGTTTCCATTTTCCTCTCCCTTCCTTTCTCTCTAAACAAATTAATAAAAAAAATATTAAAATGGAAAATCAGGGCCACATCTAATAATTTATCATATACCATTATAAATTAAAAACTATAGCTAGTTAACATTATTTGGATATCGTAATTAAAATACATAATCATATTTATTTTATTATGGTTGATTTTCTATAATCCGAGGTAGAAAATGTACTATATATTAACAGTGGTTTTTATTTCCAGGCTCGTCTGTTCAACGAAACACCCATCAATCCAAGAAGATGTTTGCATATTCTTACAAAGATTCTGTACTTACTGAACCAGGTAAATTATTTTAATTTCCTTCAGATTCATGTCCTGGAATAGAACTCCATAATATGTAGTAAAATACTTTCTGGAAAGTATAATTTTTTTTAATTCACTTATTTAAAAAGTCCGCAGTGTTTGATTAACATAATAATATGTAAAACGTCTTGAAGACAAAGACTGGGACCTATACTTCTTTTATGCATGAGGTACTAAAGCAGCTAAGCACACTGTAGATTCTCAACATTGATTTGAATTTAACAAGTATTAGTTAATGTTAAAACATGTTGTTTAGAATTGTTCAGAGGTCTTTATGTTCCTCTAAAAATATAGTGCAGAACCTTAGGCATATTGTAAATAGATATGTTACCCTTTTCAGGGAGTGGGTGGGTATATAGTTATGTTTAAAGCTTTGCTTTTATTATTCAGATTTTATATTTATTATCCCTACTCCACCATAACAACAGTGTGATTCTGGGCTTAATCATTTTATTCCTTAATGTCCTTTTCTATAAATGGGGATTGTGATAATATCTGTTTTTTAAAGTTGTAGTGATTAAATGAGGTAATAAAAATAAAGCATTGAGAATAGCCCTAGATACATAGTAAGCATTTAGGAATAGTTTTCATTCAGTCATTCAGCAAATATTTATTACATATCTGCTGTGCCCTATGCACTGTTTTAGACACTGGGATATAAAGACAAAACCAACAAAACTGTTTGCCCTAAATGAAATAGATTCTATTTGTCATTATTATTATTACTTTTATTTTTTTAGATATTTATTTATTTATTTATTGTTGACTTAAAAATCTCATAAAATTTCTAGGGCCTTAGCAAATGTGATTTTGTTTCTTAGACACACACGCACACACACACCCTCACAATATCAGATGGTTTACATATGGTGCTAAGAAGACTATGGTTTCAAATTTGAATTCCATGAGAATATTTTATCTTTACTGTGTTTCACGACTGAAGACCTCATCCAGAGACATAATTCAGTTTCATAGTTTGCAAGTGGAGATTGTGCAACAACTACATACTTTTAAATAAAGTTCACAAAGTCACATCCCTCTGTAGTAGCATATTGGGAACATTTAAGGCAAAGTCATTTTGATTAACTTCAGAGCACATGTTGTGTCCAAGTTACCTAAATCTATTATATAAGAAGAGTTTTGAGTAGTTGGTTTTGGTTCATATACTTTTGTATTGGCCAATAGCTGATGTTGAAACATTTAATTATCTTGATAAGGACATTACTGAGCACAGACTAATACATAAACAGGTCAGGGAACCTTAGTTTTTTATTTTGCCTAGATCTTGGGAGAGCTTTGTGGAAAAATACTTTTAAGTTTCTACCAGAGTTAACATATCCATGTGTTCTTTGAGTTAAAAGGTAGGAATTCAAGTTTTACCAATATGACTGAAAAGTACATGGCCATCTAAGTATTCAGGAAATAGTTATGAAAGAAAGAGGGGAAAATATCTTGCTGGTGAGCAAGGTGGATATTCTGATTGAAGCAATTGTAAACTATAATACTTTGTCTTTCATCCTAAGCTTTCAAAGTTTTTCATCAAAATTGGCTTATTCTTAGATTCATAACAAATAGAGTGAAGACTAGTTATATTCTATGGAAAATCTGAAGTTCTGAAAGTGATTGAGCCTGACATATTTTATAGGATTGCTTTAATGAAGATAATTAAATTGAAATGGTTATGTTTCAGGTAGCCTGTGATCTGCAGTTTCGACTGTAAGTGAACTAGGTTCTTTAACATCTTGTTACGCAAAAATAATGTGGCTCCCCGATCAGCAGCATTCTCATTCCTGGAAGCTGGTTAGAAATGAAAAATTTCAGGCTTCAGCCTAGAGCCATTGAGTCAGAATCTACATTTTGGCAAGATCCTCAGCTGATTTATTGAACACATTAAAGTTCTGATCCAAAGCATGTTTTTTGGAGCTTGAGCCAGTATCTTGAGATCTATTAGCAGCCCCTTAAGCCTTTTATATAACTAACCTGATTCTTGCCCTTTTAGTGGGTCCCTTTAAATTATGTTTTCTGGATTCCTAATAGTTCTTTACAGTTTAATATTTATTATGTTCCTATGAGAATGCCAGGCTTTGTGCTGGGCATAGGATTATAGAAAGGTAGAGGATATGATCTTTGCTCATAGGCAGTATAACAATAACATTGCAGTTTGATTTAGGAACTCAGCTTGTTATCATTTTCTACCTCCTATAAATCACAGTTCTTCAGGGAAATTAAAACAGTTTCTGCTATAAGGTTAGAAACCACTGTTCTAGAACTTTTATAGC